GAAGCCGAGGCCTCGGAGGAGCGCGGGAGGGCGCGGCAGCAGCGGCGAGGTGGAACAAGACATACAGAAAAGTGCGCGGAATGAGACATTCATCATCATCATCATCATCATCATCATAATTAATAATAATAATAATAATAATAATAATAATAATAATAATAATGTAGGACAGTCCAAAGTAGACTATAAGGAAGCAAAGACCCCGGGGAGTTTTGTTGTTGTGTTTAGTTTATATATATATTTTTTGAATTTTTGGTTATTTTTTCTCCTCTCCAGGCTATTTATTTGTTTGGTATGAATAGATGTTTTAAATAATATGAACCGGACCTTCAAGAGCCTTAACTAGTTTGTGTCTTGGATAATTTATTATTATCATGTGAACTGTATTCACGGGGGGGGGGGAAGAGATTATTTTGTGCGGCCAAGCAACCTGCTCAGAGTCTATTTTTCTACAAGTTCCTGGTCCTGAGAGTCGGGAAACAGAATTCTGTGCTTGCCAGTTCTCCTCTGCTATGCTCCTGCTTCTCTGCAAGTGTAAACTAAAACATGCTTCATGGGGGTCCACAAATTATATTTTTATACACAGAATTGTAAATTAGATTTTTTGAGAGATCAATACTTAACTGAATGACATTTCATTTTTTGAAATAGTGTAAAATATGAAATATATTATTTTAATTTAACTAGTTTCCAATGTTAATGGCCATCTCCTGTACTGTCTTCATGGTTTAATACTTGCTTTCATCATCTTTATTTTGGCCACATTCTTGGAAGCCAAGACTGTTACACACTCACTCACACATACACTTTTTTTTTGACAAACTGGAAGAACTCTGTTATTTTTAACTTCAAAGAGTTTATTAGAAAATAATATTTTTTAAAAGTGCACATAGTGATGAGCCCATGAGGATGGAGCCTGTAGTTTGTACAGAGAAAAAGGATGTTTTTGCATTAATAAATTGAGACATAACTGCTGTAAATTTACTAAAATGTATTTTTTAATATTTTGTAATAGTTTTATAGAAATAAAATGTGCCACGCACAGACCGGTTAGTACATAATAACTCGGAAATCCTGTCGCAGCCCCTCTTCTGTTCCTTTGGGCTTCTTTGTTGGGAAACCTAGCGCCCCAGGATCTGTCAGGCAGGGATAGCATAGACAGCCAAAGTAGGCCAACTGGCCTCCTCTGCGCTGGAGAACCCACAGCTCTGGTCATAATTACTGTGTAAAGCTCTTTTGCAATCCTGGAGGTTGAGGGTGCCATATGTAGGGGTCCATCTTTCGCTGCCCCAGCTTTTAGTAGCAGAGCCTGGTCTGCAGGCCTGGAGGAAGTGCCCCAAGGGAGGCAACCTTGTACCTTTCACTGGTCTTGCGGTGTTTGATCTGTAGTCCACTGCTGCCTTCTGAAGTCTTAGTGTGACCTTGGCAGAGAGATGTGGATGTCTGAACCTCCCACCTCTGGGTTGAGTGGGGCTTCTGCAAGGGCCTGGGACCATGCCTGTTGTCTGTCTGTAGTGGGTGCTAGGCCTGGAGTTGTATCCCTGGGACAAGGCTTGTGCCCGATGTCAGCTGGGGCTGAGAATGCTTCCTCTGAGCTTAATGATGCCTCACAGCTTGGCAAAGAGGTCTTTCCTCTCAGCTGCAGTCACTTCCAGTTCTGTGTCATAATTGGAGCTCTTGGGAGAGGCACCTGAGTGGCTGGCCTTGGAAGGGTGGAGACTACCAGCAGAATACACTTGTCTTGGAGGTAACCCAGTGTCAGGAAAAGGACTTGATGGGCCTAACGTCCTGTGGCAGGGTCTGGCTCCAAGGGGTGGCTGGTGGAACTCTGTAGCCAGAGACTGGGTCCCCAAGAGCTTTGGTGCTGAATGGCCATGTACATTTGGATGGCCCTGGGCACTGGGGTCAGGGCATACCCTCTGGGCAGCAGTGGGCCTGATTTTCTTCACAAACTTTTCCTTGGTCATCCAGGGGTCAGTAGTGTCACAGCTGGCATTTATAGTCCCCCTGAGGCTGATGGCTTCCACCATTCTAGCTGTTCAAGTCACTGTGGTCAGAGAAAAATGAGCAATGGGTTATGTGCAGGCTGTGCCCAGTGACCTCAGTTACAAGCAGTGCAGCCCTGTCTGCCAGAGAAGGGACTCAGACTCAGTGCTGGCACAGCCCTACAGTAGGCCTGGCAACCAAGGTACCACATGGAATATGGGGCCCTGGCAAATCCCTGCAGTTGACTTCTCCAGCCCTCTCTGTCCCCCTTAGAAATCCTTCCACAGAGAGCCAGGCATGGTGTCACACCACCTGTAACTTGGGAGCACTTGAGAGGCTAAGGCAAGAGAATCACTGTGAGTTTGAGGTTAGCCTGAACCATAGTGAGACTGTCTCAAAAACAAAAACAACGAAAGAAAACTTTTTCACAGAGAAACAATAAGACAAGGCAAGGAAAGGAAGTCATGGTTTATATAGAGAAGCCGGGCCAGGAGAAGGTGCAGCCCCTCTGCCTGTGTGGGGTGCCAGCCTCTTGAGGCTGTAGTACCTAGAGTTTGTGCAGTTTGCTGCCTGTCCCTCAGGACCAAATGCATATCGGTTCCTGTCAAAAATGTGTTTCAGAATGCATTCGAAACTGGCATCATCGTGTTGTATTGTTTGGATCATTAAAGAAATTACAGAGACTTTCTGCAATGTCTGTTATGTGGCTGAATTCCTATCCCACACCATCATCTGCTCTTTTGGTTTTCTTCCACAAGGCTGTTCGCACAAAGTGAAAGAAAAGTCCCATTGAGGAGTAGGCAGCCTCTCTCAATGGGTGAGCTGGCTCATTGTGGGAATCTGTCCCGGTGCAGCTGGGCACGTGACTACTGTGCTTGCTGGGCTGACACAGCCATCCTGCCCTGACTGAGTTCTGTGCCATCAGCATCGTGTCCATGTCAGGAATATTGGGAATACATGCAAAGAATGCTGGTTGGATGAAGGATTTGGAGAGAAAGCAGCAAAAGTACCTGTGAAGGAGCCAAGCTAGCATCCTGAGCAGGTGCTCAGGGCTCTATAAGGGCACAGGCCAGGCATTGGGTCCATCCGTTTCTACAGATGCTCAGAGAAGTGACTGTTACAACATGCATTTCAGCCTTCCCAGGAACACCACTGGACATGCATTCTGGGACAGAGGACAGAGGCTCTGAGTTCTCTTTTCACATAGCCCTTACACTGAGACTGTTTTTTAAATATTTCAAAATATTTGAAACAATCTAAAAAAGGATACTGCCTCCTGACCCATGAATACTATATTAAACTGGAATGTCAGTGTCTTTCAATAAAGCACAGCACACATTTGCTTACACATCCAAGACTGCCTGCCAAGCCCCATGTCCTCATCTGGCACTCCATAGAGCCTTACCAAGCCCTTCTGGGGCTCTTGCATTCAAACCAGGCTTGGATTTGGGTGTTGGGCTTGGAAGCACTGGGCACAGCCCCTATCTACTCCAGGTCTCCCTGTGAGAGGTCAAGCATCACATTTAGCCCAGGCAGGCCCAAGCATAGACAAGAAAGAGCACCTGGGCCTGAGGACCCCAGTAGAGGCATGGGGACCCAAGAATAGCCCAAGGCAGACTTTCATGCTGCTTGCTGAGAAAAACACCCCAAAGTGAGCTGTAGGGAAATCTTCTTATGGAGGGAACTTTCTTTTTTTTTTTTTTTTTTTTTTTTTTTGGCTGAGACTGGTCATCTCAAGTTAAGGAAGAAAGTATATAAATGCAGTTCTCAATTTATGGCGCATACAGACTCAGAGCCTGTTCAAAGAGTCAGGAAACGAGCATGGAAGAGATGTTGCCAAAGCTCCTGGTGGTTCTCAGAAATCATGCTGTGTTTCAGAGGGGGAAACAAGAGAAAGGAGAAATCCAAAAGCTGAAAACAGAAGAGAGAGAGGAGGACAAAAATGGAAGAACATACTGCTCTCCCCAGGCCCTGCTTTCTGGATGGAGTCCTGAGCCACACAGGCCTGGGTGACCTCCTGGGAAACAGGACAGCAGTCCCTCCCATCTGGGCACCCTCAGAACTCATAGCCACCAGAAGCCTACAGCCCAGAGCACCAGCACTCCAGGGGCCCTCAAGGCCCAGCTCCACCCCGTGCCTGTCCTCCCCACTGGCCCGGTCAGCCGGGTCCCAGCTGAAAGTTGTCCCCAGATGCAGTCCACCCAAGGGCAAGGCTGACAGGCAGGAGCCAGCAGAGGATGGGGGGGCTTGTGACAGAAAGACCATGGAGTAGAGGACAAGGCACCTAGGGAGCTGCTTGCATTCAGCTGGATTTCTGGTGCCCCTCACTAGCAGCTGCAGAAGTAGCAGGCACTTCTGGGCTGCATTTGAGCTGGGGCACTTGAAGACAAATGCCACCTGTGCCTTCCTGGTGCCCACTTCCTGCACAGTCAAGGGAAGCCCAGCTTCCAAGCCCCTT